GTGTATATCATATGTTATACCTTTACTACCAATGATGTTATTATCGTAAACCTTAAACAAGATTCTGCCTAACTCAACTCAGAGGATCAATTAAAAACTTTTTAGGTATTTGCAACCAAAGGTATTGGGCTCGATTTTTGATGTGAACATAAAAAATATATACACCCAGCTAACGAGTCACAAATAGAAGTAAACACACTTTCGGAATTCTACTACAAGCAAAATATCTATCCATTATAAACATCTCTGTTTCTATTATTTGAAACACCCAAGGAATTCATAGAAGTCATAGACCTCAGATATCTCATGGTTTTATGTTTTATCATCTTCCAGTTCCCCTGCGGCGCCTCTCGATAAACATTTCATAGTTTGAGAGTAGAAGGGAATTCTAAGGGACAAGGCCTGATAGGTAGAAAAGGGGGAGTTGATGTGGTGAGAGCATTGCTCAAAACTTTGGAAAAGGTTATAAACTTATTTTTCATATTTTTTTGAACAGACAAGGTAAATTACATCATCCATCGACAAGTAGTTGAAAAAAGATAGGACAATAAGTTCTTACTGAGCCAGTGTAGTGTAGCGATAGAGTGCGATGAGTTTCGTTATATGTTTCGTTGGGTCGATAACTGACAACAACATCGCCTCAGATAGCACTTTTCCTGGATAGGCCATGAGAAAAATCAGAAATAACACAGAAACTCAAAACTGTGAATCATAGTATTCGCAGTTATGTTCATTGAGAAATTTACAACTTAGAGGCGGGCAAAAAGCAAATTCATCTGTGGCAGCCCAGTTGGTTTTTCATATCGTCTCTAGGCGGGATACAGTTATTTCTTAATTTGGATTAAACCAATTTTTAATGGCCTCACTAATTGGTGCTGTGACTTGATTTATTATTCTAGGTTTGATTTCAGCATTGTTTTGAGCACAGAAAACGCCTACTTATTTGCAAAGTCGCCTCAAAAAAATGATAATTGTGTTGAGACGGCGATCTTAACACATGTTGAGTCATAGTGTGAAAATTGTCTTTTTTGTGACATCTCCCTTAAAATCATTACTCAGGTGAAATATTCGGGTTAAAAGTCTTAGAATTGATGTGAAGTCTCGTCTATACTTTCTTGAAATATCCGTTCATACATTTGACTTAACCCGATATGTGTAGTCTTAGAATGTCTGTCTTGACCAAAGGAGCAAGCGATAAGCTTTGGATCCTCAGACTTGTCCCTGATGCTTAATATTTAGTAAGTAGACATACCTTATCAACAAACGAGAATTACTAGCAATATACTAGAACCTGAGAGTTATCTTCTCACACGTTATAAACTAAAAAACAAAATAAATATCAATTTCTTGTTGGCTTTGGTTTGTGAATGAAAACCATATACCTTTTTTTGTTCCGTCCTGAATTTGCCACTTATGCTATGATGTGTCAGTAACCTTATTATTTAGCGAATAAGTAGTTACTTTACTTTATCTTCCTTTCATTGTTCTCGTCCTGTTTGTTTTTGCACTACACTTAACACTGGAACCAATGTAACAGATTAACGCAATGGAATTTTATATTTACAAGATAGATTATAAAGCGAGCTTCATTTAACACCACTTTTGGAATAATTTTGCTGTGTATCACTCAGGATCAGGCAAAAAAACGTTCACAAAGGAAACTGTCAAATAACGGTTGAATTACCTGGAAGCTTGTTTATAACACAAATGAAACGAATATAACTATCATAAGTCTTCAAGAATATGAGATATACCACAGTTACCGATGAATCTTCAGGTTCTTTTCATTAATTGTAGAGTCATGCTTCTGAAAACGTGTTCGGCTTTTTTACTTTTAAATTCAATTGGTTCTTTTACAATTAAGTAAAAAGCCTCGAACTAAGGTTTACGAATTTATTTTCAAATGATTTCAGTGAGTGCGAAGTCACTGATTGGCTGAACTTTCTTATAATTTCCATAAATACCAATTACATTACAGCCAAGTAAATTATTACTTTTTAAATTATCTGCTGATAATACTGTTCTATGTAAATACTGTCTTATCAGACTGTAACTATTAAATTACCATTAAAGTCATATTTTAACGGGTAATTACAGTTAGCTATTGTTTCTTCAACATTTCATTAGTTTAATGTGGATTTCTAAGCTTAGACTCGAAGTAGAGAAAACAGTTTTGTAGATTAGTTGTGTACTAGTATGGTATATATAACTCGTACATCTAATAGTACTCCATATTTTTATATCAACAATCCCTTACATGATAAAAAAATCCTTTTCAAAGTGGAGCAACCAATATTACCCTAATTATATATAAGATGTAATGAAACATAATTTGAATGAATTCGGTAAAACAAATTACACAGCTTACATGGTAATGCTTAATCTGCTAGAGGTAGTCGACCACTATAAAATAAACGAGGTTGACAAATTAGCATATGATAATTTATATACCTAGTGAACTATACATTCTCTAAAGATTAAGTTATTATCAATAAACAGAAAATACAAACTAGTTAAATATTGTCATGACAATTACAGTAGTATTCTTGTCCAGTTTCGTACAAAGCATGCGATTTTATCAGAATGCGAATTTATGTCTTGAGAATTAAGAACATGCATAACTATGCTTTATAAAATGTCGAATAAACGTAACATCATCTGATCATTTGTTATTTGTAATAAAATTAGACTGGAATAAAACAGAAAAAGAAAGGTTCACTTCCAGGAAGGTTAAAAATGAATCCCCAAAACAATAATTTTTATTAAATATTACATTGTTGATTTCAAAATACCTAATTAAGATGCATTCATTTGTCTAAGATGTTTAAAGGTAAAGCTTTTATAATACTTTCCTAAATTATATCTTCTAAGTTTCAAAGATTTCTGGCAAATGATTCACGACTTCCTAACATGAATTAGTGTCTTTTGAAGGATCGAAGTAAAACCTCAGATAAATAGAATGATGTTGTTCTATTTATTTTATTCAGTAGCTTGCAACATATGTTTTGCATGCTCATTAATTTTCTCCTTAAACTAATATGGATAAGAATCATCCTGACAGTTATTTCTCAAGGTGAACTTCCTATAACGTGACATATTCATAGCTTATCAGTCAAAGAAACTATGGACTTATCTATTGGATGTTACTTTGCACTAAGTTTTAGCATTTATAGCATTTCCAATTGACTGACATTGAGTAATAAGTGTTTCTACCAATTATAATGAAATTTCACAGGGTAGTTTTCCATTTATTTTAGCGACATTATTTCATATCCTAAGCAAATAAATTCAAGAAATGGTATGAGACGTAAGTCACAATCTCATCTCTATCCTGCAGACATAAATAACTAGATACTTTAATAAACTTTAAACGCATTAAATATTGATCATTATAGTTACCGTGACTGAGATTAAGAAAAATGTGGTAACTATGGTATTACAAGAGTAAATAATTCTAATTCGCGTAATACTTTTGTAATTAAATAGGAAGACAGGTGATTTAAGTTCTTATTTATTTTCATATTATAAATAAGCTCTACTGTCGATTTATTTAGAATACACCTCGCAATATCAATAGTTTACAGACAACACTGAAAACGTCAGTGCAATGTAAGAGTACTATGAAAAAGCCAATGAACATCTGAAACCCTTCTGGTACTATACGTAATATATGCAAGTATATCACGAAAAATAATGAAACTATTTTAAAGAATAATTCGTGTTTTAATGTAATTGTATTTCGTGTTCAATATTAAGGGTAATGTGAGCATACTCTGTGTATTTCCTTTATATTTATTCTAAAATAGTGATAAAAGTAATAATTTCCTATTGAATCATTGGTCACAGATTACGTGTACCTACATGAAAGCATTTAAGCTTAAAATTTACGAGACATCATAAAATATCTTAGAGTTCCAAATGTTCAAACTGATGACTTAAGTATTTGGACGATGAATTCCAAGCGGATAAGAAAAGTAAATATCTCTGTTTAAAGGTAAAAACCTTGATTTTTTTCTTAATATGCACACTGGTGAAAACCTGTGTTTAATGTAACCGTTATTTCCGTAAATACACTGGTATGGAATCACCTTCGAAGTAATTAGTATACTGGATCACTTATTTTATTTGGACAATGGATATATACTACAGAAAAAAGTATGAAAAACTAGGAGTGTACATAAACTGCATCACCATAGTTAGACTCGATAATTTCAGACAAATTGGACAGAATAATATTAATATTAATAATAATAATAATAATAATAATAATAATAATAATAAGAGTAAAATAATGACATTTAAGATATTCAAATGAGTAAAAACTAGAATTTTCAATGTCCCTTGACCTAGTGTATACCACTTTTTCAGAGTAGAGAAATTAATAACCCAACATATTCATCACAAGTTTAAATATTAAACTATCTAAACTCATTAAGACATTACAAACATCATTATTTTATTATTAGGAGTGCATGTCTTCATCAAAATAATAATCCCACTTTGATATAAGGCTCTCTTTGAGAGTTAATCAGTACTAACAAAGTGAGTTGTTTGAATTCATCAGTTCTGAAAACAAATTTAAATACTCGTAAGTTACATTTTAAACAGTTTTTTTGGTTTAATTACTATAAATAATATCTGTTCAAAGTACGTGTCTTGTTGACTTGATTGTTTGAGAGTAAACATTTTAATTGATGCCAAAAGACTGTATCCAGCTGGTAACCTAATATATAATTTGTGCCAACCTAATAAATTTTCAATTAAACATCCATGAAATTATGTCCCTAACATAACTTCACATCCGGTAATACAAATAAGCACGTATGCTTATTCTTTTGGTCTTGTTGCTAAAGTCACAACATATTAATCATTTGAAAGTCATTGAACTTAGTTTCTCAGTTCCTGTTCTCCATATAAGTTAATTGTAAAATGAATCAGTATTATAAAGCATAGTAATGAATTGAAATTACAGTAATCCAGATCTGGTAAAAATTCTGTTTCAGATATGGGTGTGTCCCACACTAATCTTCATTTGTTAATATTGTTATTAATTGTGAAGTAGACAAGTATTTGTATACTTGTTATTTAACATGTTCACCACAGTCCATTTCCTTGCTTAGAATCTATAATTGGATTAATTATGACCATTTAATCTGTGTACAACTGGTATTTTTTATAAGTTTCCACTTGTATGATTTCTTTATATTGTTATGATCTTATTAGCTTGATGTAAAAATGTTGATGAGTAGTATTCAAAGTCGCATGGTCTTGAGCTTATTTCGCTAGACTGTACGCCAATTTTAGGTTTCAATGTACGTGATTCTGAGTGACTAGTTTCTTCCGGTTTTCTGCCTGATAGGTTGTTGACTAAACGTTCCAAAACTTCATTTTCCGATAGAAAATGTAATGGCAGCACAAACTTATATCGTACATTAGGTACAATAGGAGAGTTCATTGATAAATATAACTTGTAGACCTCAGAAGCAAAATTAATGACATCCATAATGAGCTATTTTTACGGATTATCTATCACATGATGATTCTATTGCAGAAAACTTTAGAGATAGTGATAAATAATAAGTAAGCAACTATATATCTTTAACTGACAGAAAATGACTGTACAATAATCAGTAATTTAAATAGGATTGAGATCTAGGTGAAAACCACATTTTCTTAACACCCAATTGATCTCTGTACTGATGATAAGACTGTCAATCCCTTACGTCTGTCGGTCATCATCGATACGTTTTATTGTCTTTATTTTCCCTAATATATCAGCATGAAGAGAATATTCTATAAACTAAACTATTGTTCCTAAGTAGCAGTATTATTAATATTCAGAAGTTCTTATATCTCATATAAGTACTTTTCTAAATAAGGTGATTCATTGGTAGTTAATTAATTAATTACCAATTCCATAAAGCTTTTGCTCCAGCTTACGCTACGTATTGTTCGTTTTCTCAACAAAAGTGTTGATAATTGCACAATAACTACTGTTCATAAAAATATATCCCCAGCAGTATGGGCAGTTGAATAATATGCCTACAAACATTTAGGTTTTTATGAAATAATTTATCACAGAAAGCCAAAACAAAATGATCGCTTGAAAGTAACCGACCAACCACATTGAAGTAGTTAACAATATTTAAAACCTTCAGGCAACATTTTCACTAAATAATAGGACAACTTTGTTTACACCATGATACTATGAGACCAATAATAACCTATATAGTAAGTGTCTCTCATAATAATTTTGTCATACAAACTTCATAGCGACGGAAAGTTTAGCTATGAATATGTAAAGTTTTCATTTCGATCCCAGAATCTTCTATGAGAGAGCGAGAATTCTCAAGCTAAGTAAGATTATCCGTCCTGTTTATTTTAAAATCATTAATTTTTCTTGAAACAGTAGTTGTTTATTCATGAAAAAACAAGTAACCTATCACTATAATAGTAATAACCAATGTGTACTATAGAAATTAACGGTTTAATATAAGTTTCCTGACTTTTATTCTCATACTGTGATAAAAACTTGAATACCATCAGTGTTGAATACAGAAACTGGATTTGTTTCGGGCGATAATCGGACAACCTTACATGGTTGAAAATAAATTTTATTAGCTAAATGTTTTTGTGGATATATAAATATGATATACAACCAAGTCCTTCCTTGGATCAAGAGACTTGAAGCAATTTAAAGTAAATCTGAAATGTAAACACTTTTTCGTTTGATTCATAGTAGTTCGACAGATTTTGTAGAGTCATTATAAATGCGTGTTTCACTTCTTACAATTTTTCTCCATCAAAGTGCAAAGTAATTCTATTTTCTTTTCAGTTCCAGATTGACAGTGTAAAACATAACAGAAATCGCGAAGAAGTAACATCGTTCTGGAAAACATTAATTATCAAGTGGATAGGGTTTAGAGTCAGAATTATTCTATTCCTTCTCTTATTTTTGCCTAACTTGGACTTTAATAATGAAATTTTTTGAATATCTTCAATATAAATGCTATTATTGTTCAGTCTGTATGACATTCATACGTAATCCTGTTTCATAAATGTCAACAGGGTTTTCTGAGAATCCACTTAGTGATAATGACATTGTAGAATCTAGTCATTCACTTATTGAAGAAACTGATTTCACTCAGCAGTCAACATTAACACCGTTAGAAGACAAAACAATACAACAATCAACTCCCCCTCACTCATCATCGCCAATACTACAACCAATAGCAACAATACTAACTGACACACAAGCAGAAACTCAAAAACCGGAAGAAACCCAACCTATTCAACCAGAGTTTACTGAGATAATAACAGACAGGAATAAATCAGAGCAGTGTGTTGAGTTAAACTCCCCAACTAATTTTGTGTCGAAAGAATCCAGTCCAGATAGAGAAAACTGTGGTAACAATATGACAAATCAAGATGACAGATTAAATATATCACCTAATTGGATACCTGAGCAACACTATAATGTTTTTACATGTTCTACTACGACGCCAAGTTCCCAATCGGTTTTACGGCTGAAGCAATATTATACGAGTTTAGAGGAGTCAACAAAACCTTGTGAAACTAAACTTACTGAAACGAACAATAATAATGGAAATAGTCGTAATGGAAGATCACTTCGCAAATTAAGACGTAATACATTTGACAGATCATCACACCGATCAAACTCAAAAAATAATGGAGAACAAGCTGATCACATCGACAACTTCAGTCCATTTAAAGATGAAAAGGTAAATACATCTGTAGAAGAAATGTGTAAATTATTTGAATCTGGTCGCTTTACCGATCATAATAAAAAACACACGGTAGCTGAAACAGTAGTGACATCAAAAGAACAAAATGAAAAGTCGAATGATTTAAATAATTCTAAATCATTTAAACTGATCAAATCACTTCCTGAAAATAACGTCGAATTTCATTCGCGTCCACCAAAGTTTCGGACTCCTAGTCCTAAACCTTTTAATCTACCGACACCACCTCCACTACCTCTACCACCAGCCATGGAATCCGTCAACAAATCTTATGAAATTAATGGTGTTACTAACAATAATATACGTAGTACAAATAAAGTAAGGAATAAAATGAAATGTAAAAATAAAAATTATTCATCCTGTTGGAATCAACCTGCTAAGCCAATATTATCAATGAGTTTACCGTATCGCTCACGATCTTTGGCGATTGACAGGAAATCTGACGTAACTCATGGTAACAGAGGAGGTTCGTTATCTCGTTATCGTGCTTGTTCAATTACCCAGCGATCACTATCACCATTACCCAATACATTATCCTTTAAGGATGATCAGGCTGATAAGGCAGCTATAAGTAATTTTTCAAAATCTTCAGATCTAAAATGTTCAAGATACAATAATTTTATTGGCACTAATACTAAGAATACAGAGTTTGGAAAACAGGAATCCCCTCACTCTACAGTTCATTGTAATGTCTGTAATGTAAAGCCTGATCAAATTGTCTGTATGAATCCTTCGTCTACCGACGGTGTGTATGTTAGATCTGCTGTAGTCTATGAGCGTGTAAATGGAAAACCTCTCTCGAAGGAGCCCAAAAACTTTATTACGACGTATGTAGTATCTAAGTGGCCAAGTCCAAGTCAAGCAACTCTTCAGGCTACAAATTTATGGGTTGCAGAACAGTCTCTGCAACAGTATGACCAGAGGTTGGCTACACCTTTCAGAACACAAGCGTTATCAAAACTCAATACTACAGCTCAACCTAGTGAGTCGAAAGAAATCCAGTTTTATCATAGTAGTCCGGTCGATAATCTAGCCAAACCAAAAAAAAATACTATACAGCAAAAAGATCGGAGTTTGGTAGTTCAGCCAAGAATTAAATTTGATCAGCATGATCATACACGTACATTCACTCATACTAGGAATAGATCTTTGTCTCCACAACCGTTACCCACTCCACCTTCAACTGAATTACACCCACATATATTACGTTGCACTAGTGGTCAGTGCAGTCCATCCCATCAAAGTCGTATATCTCAATCTTTCTTGGATAAATCCAATAATCTAGATAAAGTGCAACGATCAACATATCACAGACCTTATTTAAGTCGTTCGTGGTCAGTAAAATCATTATCCCCACCACCACCTTTCCGAAGTCAGTGGCTTAGTTCTATGAGTGCATCAAGAAGCAGACAGAAAATATTTGATAAATTTCACAGTTTAACACGTGATAGGTATCCCAGAAACAACACAGAATCATTTTGTAAACATCATAGAGGTCGGGAATCAAACCGAGTAATAAACTGCACCAAACACAGAAGTTGTATTGAGTCGTACCGCAGGGAAAGCGCAAGACGTTTACGAAACCATGAAAAAAAGGAATGGGTAAAACGAGCAGAAGAAATCAGTGATGATAGACAAAAATACCATGAACTTAGAGGGAGTTGGTCGCCACCAGTTATGCGAAGTCCACCAAGTGCAACACCAAATAATATGGAGGAACGTACGGAAAAAGAAATTCAGAGATACATAAGACAGCAGTCTCCCCCAGCTCGGTCCCCACGTGTTGCGATTCCTAGGTATTCATCTTATTATCCACAAGAATATGTCAAATCGTTAGATAAAGGCATACAGTGTGACAGTGTTGAAGCAGGAGGATGTGCATGTCAAGCAGTAGATAAGTTTGCTGATGACTGCATAGACACTACCCCAATCTCAGAAGATTTTGATAAAAAACGTGCATATTTTGAAGAGTTGATCAAAATAAATAGAAATTTAGCCCAGTGTTCATTTTGTTCTGACTGTTATCACTGTTCACCTGGACAAACACCAAAGATAAGCGCCTATTCAAGCTGGGATTCTGAAATCAATAATTTGAACAGTCAGAACAATTCATTCATAAAACGAGATTTCTACTCTAAAGACCAGCCAAGTCACTACCAATACCAACGTCATCAACAAGAGAACCAGTACGGAAAACAACGACATATTAGCCATTGTCAAAAGCTTAACAAAAATTCAGCTTATAATTTTCATGAGTACAGTCATAATCCGTATCCTGGTACGAAACACCATTATAACACTTACGGTACCAATAATAATAATCACCACTTTACTCTAGGTGAACCTCAACAGTATGCTTCCAATACATATTTACCTTTCGAAAATCCGGCCTTTGTAGATTATGATACGAATTATTCCCATTTAGGTAAAACTTTAATGGACCAGCCCACCGTTAACTCGATAAAACATGACTATTACGCAAAGGCTATTAACGCTATGCCTAAAGTTGCCCCAAACCCACCTACATACAGTAATAATAATGATAATAGTAACTTTTACAACTATCAAGAACCCTATGAATCATTTGTCAGATATCGAAATATTTCTCCATTACGTATAGAACTAGAAGATTCACCAAACCCCATATCACCATATAATAATCAGTTTACGACTCAGCGCCCCTACAAAATTCGGAAAACAATTCATTCACCACCGTGCAGATTTTCCACTTATACAGCAAACGAAAATTACAACTTATCAAATTACCAAGAACATCAAAAACAACGAGGTGAATCTTTAGAAAGTTTACATTGTGAACAGAATGACTATGTAGATGATCAGCCAAAATTTTATGGCAGGGTAAAACAAATTGTTCAAGCACTTGATAAACAAGCTGCAGAGTACAATTCACGTATTGATTCAGTTGAATCAATAACTAGTCCTGATAGACATCAACCCTTAAGACGCAGTCACAGCGATCGTTTCTCTTATCTTATGCCAAGAACATCATGGTAACCTAAAAAAAACGTGGAATAATTTGTTTTATTGTCACAATGTAGAATAACGCTAATTATTAAGAATGTTTCATTGAATGAATTAACCTCAAAAAAGAACATAAATTTTCCTCCGTATACGTTATTATTATTCTTATTTAACCTTTAATATTTTCTAACTTAATATTATTTAAGAATGACAATGCTTAATAATAATAATTCAGGAATTCTCTAACTGTTTACATTAATTTTATGTTGATTGTTTAGTGTTTACTATTTAATATTTTTTATTAGTTTTAATTAATCAATAATTGGAAAGTTATTCAGCGATATTTTGTTCTATAACTGAGAACAATCTATTTGATCCCTAAAAGGAAATAGTTTATTAGCAACCAATAACAATTAAGCTATGGAGAAAGCGCTGATAATTTTAATATGCATTTAATAATTATTAAATTTGTTGACTAATTTTCTTTATTCACTTTTTTTGGTGTTGCTTTACTGATAAAAGTCTTTCTAGTTATTGCCTTTGTTTTTCTTAAAACAAAACAAAAGAAAAAGTACAACATTCATAGAAAATTGAGAACCGCAATAGATGTAGAACTATACATCAAACTGTTATCTCAGTATCCAAAACTAACTACTAAATTTTAACTTAGATACAAGATATATTCCAGCAGCTATGGGTCTTTTACTTTCGTATATGTAAACTAAAATATCTGTATTTAGTAAAGACTTAATGTACCTGCTTAAGCCTAAAATCAATATTAGGTATTATATAGTTTAAAGAATAAATTCAATACCAGCACTTGGTCTCTATTCACTATCATGTTAAGAATGGTATTAGTTGATTACAATTATAGAATATTTTCAAGTTAGATTACGTCATCTGTAAGAGCATCTTCTCGAACCAATATGTTATGACACATTTATAATTCACAAAGAAATGTCTGTAAATTCAACAAAAAATCAAATAAAAATAACTTTAAATAAAAGTTTACTAAATATTCAGTGTATATTTAACTCATGTCTTTCTACTTTAAATTGTCTTTTATGCTAGGCTTCATCAGTTTTTCCTAGACTTCCACAAAAGAAAATTGCTGTATTTTTCCGTAGTTAACTTTAAAATAGCTAGGTATGAATAAATAGTTATTCACTATTTTTAACAACTGAAATATGTGTAATGTGCTTTCCTGGCAATTTTTAAAAGATTTTAGAATTCAATTTTTGAAAATCTCAAATAGAACGTTCTCAGATAGCCTCATCGTTTTCTATTTTCAATGGTTTGCTACAATTTATAGGATAATGCTCAATTCATTTCGTCTGGTAAGCTTAAGCATCTGAATTTTAATGTTGACAATAAGCTCATACTGGTACTGTGAATTACTATGAAATGCTTCTTTATCAGGTTTCTGTAAATGATCTATATGATTTACAAAATGCACAATATTTTTGTTAATTGTGGAGAACATCAGTTCTGGTTTATTAGTTTATTCAAAACTGGATTTTGAATGTGAATGTATAAATCAGGCAGTAAAGTTAACCTTATAACATTATTTTAATAGAATGAATCTAAATGGACTATCTCTCTGTACAATATAACAAAGACATAAGTAGATTGCATTTGAAAGTAAAATTTAGATCCGATTCACAATTTTTAGTTTCTGCATAAATATATGTTTACGAATTGAATTATAACGAATATAGTCTTCCAAGCTAACAATATTAATAAACATAGTGAATCAGTTTTATTGATGACATAAAGTAGTTTGAAATTCTCTAACAAAATCCAAAATCCTTCTATATATTTGTGATAAGATCAATGCTCTTGATAGACATCATCCAATAAATCCTGTTTACCTCTTTTAATATAAATCTCTTAACTCGTATAGTGCTTAAAAACTATAGTACACTGCACTTTACCGAATAGCATAAATGTCAATAACTGTTGTCCACAGTATGAGAAAAATGGGTAAACCCATTATGTTATAGACATAATATTGTTGTTTATAACTACGCCAAACAATAAGGATAACTTGACTAATTTTGCTAAGTGATGATGACACACCGAATTTGTTGATTTTAGTAAATTCTAAACAGTTGTATTTAATATATTCATTGTGAATTGTTCAGGCTCTATCGCTTTTATTCTTTCACAATTTTATCTTTATAGAAATCTATAAACAATCATTGGAATTTTGAGGAGAGCGTTTGTTTTTTACTGCTTTGTTAATCAACATCCACCATCAAACGTTTATACTCGACAAAACAAAGCTGTTGCAACGACTACACTATTTTTTCTTAAATTTAGACTAAAGCTAACAAATTCACTGTAGATCATCGTAAAGAAATAAATAATCTTAAACAATAATTACTCACAAGCTGGGAAAATGCATTTACTTTAGCTAACCGGATTTTAGCTTTAGAAATAAGTAAATATTGAAATACAGAAAACACCTTATTAGTTCGAGATTTCTCGTCAAAAATGAAACAAAATATTAGCTTTATCACAGGAAATTAAAAGTTTTAATTTTGCACTGTTTGCCGTTGCATAAGATATGTTATCAAGAGCTTTTTGCCTTGATTTCGAGTACTATGTCATACCTACATGAGTTATTCTAGATTTCGGACGGACGTATTAAGTTATTACTCTAGAGACGTTGTCCACATACATATTGGCAAGGTCAAAATTTATTTAGCTTCATTTTGTCTAGCTATAAGTGATAAGCCATGCTTTATCAAATTGTGTTAGTATGCTTGCCATCTCCATTTCACTTACCAGCTTCTAGTCTCCATGCCCGTCAGTTAAAATGACTGCATGAAATAAGCTAATCAAACTTAATCCGTATTCGGCTTCTGATTATCGTCGTCGCTCAAATGGAGTTAGCATAGGTGTTGTATACGGAACCGAACTACTGATTTACATTCATGGAGTATTCAATCGAAATATCAATAAGGTAATTACTTTGACACAGATATTACTCTGATTGATCCAAATGTTGCATAGTGACTTAAAGGTTGTTTGTTAGTACATGGTCATAAACATGTTTCGTTAGTTTTAGTCATCAACTTTTGCGTAAAAAAGACCGACTGTGACATCTAAAAAATATATTTGACGGAACATTTTCAATTGATGAAAATGTAGTTAGTGATAATATGAAACAATACAGTCAGCATAATACTACTTGCATCACATTATCAACTATCCATATAAGATATATAGTATCACAAAATATGAAGATAGTTAAATTGAAAAATCCGAATAAATACTAATGATTCAACAAAATTTGTCTTCTGTATGATATTTCCTTGAAGATGATAATACAATTAACGAGAGTAAAACATTATTTAAAAGTGCAATATCATGGTCTGAATAGTTGAACTAACATCCAAAAATAAGTTATTTTACCTTTAAGAGTTCTCATGCTCTTATCTCTAAAATATAATAAACTAGAGGAAATAATGAACTATGTACTAGTTTATATAATGTACTGCATAAATTTTGAGAAGTCCAAAAGTATTAGATATGATAACATTGAACCAGCGATTGATTGTTTCATAAACAAAGATGTAGGCTTTTCAAAATTTGTCTTTTCTTATTTATAATTATATGTCCAAATAATATGTAGTGGTAGCAGTAATATTTCAGTTGACCTCCAGTGATGCAGAGATTTCAGTACTATTTTGATCTTTTCCATTGTGAACTGAGAACGTAAAGTTGGTAATCTTATATGAGAATTTTGATTACCTGAACATATTTTCAGATAATATCAATAATTTTAGTAGTTAAATTCCATTAAATGAATTAATTGATTTACCCAAATCTCTGCACATCTAACTTATGAAGTTCAGTGATCCTAAAGCAAGGAGTTCGTACAGATCCGGCATTTCATTAAACTGGTATCAAAAACGAAATAAATTTATTTTGGCAGTAGATATGAACAGAATAGTGAGAATTCAAACAAATAACCAAAGAAGAAAAATAATGATTGAAAAATCTACTATATATACTTGTGACTTGATTGTGGTAAACAAATACAGTAGTGTTATATAAATCAGCCGACAGCTAGGAATAAATGTTTGTAATTTATTCATTTTACAATAACAGAATAGAAATTGTTGAATTTTATATTATAAAAAATGAAGTGAAACAGTCTTGATAAAGTCATATTTGATTGAGATCATGAACCGATTGATGTTAGACCACCATTTAAAACATGGAAGCACTGGATGGCCGTTTCGTCCTATTACGTACTCCTCAGCATCCCTGATCCCGCTTGTGGGATTCAAACCCAGGGCCTTCAATCTCGTGCGCGAACGCTTAACCTGAGGAGTCCCACAATAGGATGAAATGGTCGTTCAGTGCTTCCAGGTTTTCAATGGTCGTCCAACATCAGTCAGTTCATGATCTCAACCAAAAACTTAATAACCTCCACAACCCTAAACTGATAAAAAAGTCATATTTATCAAGAAAAAAACAGATATCCAAAGAAATTTGCAACAATTGTTGCAGATGAAGTTACCAATTAAACAAAATTTGGAAAAGTTACAATCAAAGAACCTAGAGAAACGATATAATCTATTTACTGATCAGGGATATAGAATATACTTACAAAAATATTCATTGGAACATTATTTTCACTCATGATGGTTTATCACTGTCGACAACTAGAGTATTATTGACAGCTCTTCTTAAATACTACCATTTCATTAAATTGGTTCATCTTTTAGTTAATAATGACTAGGGATTCTGTTTAATGCTGTTATATCTAATAAGATATTTAAGAGTAATATCAACTTTCGCAACCAAATAATTTTATATCACAAGTCATCACGATTTATTGCGCAAAATCAAAACGCATTTCACAGTTCATTTTAATTAGTTTAAGGTTATATCATAAGTAAAGATCCAACTTAAGCTTTTAATATACTAAATCATTGTCAAATGAAGTCATTTACTGAAACAACACAAAACTATAAATAATCGCTTTTCTAAATACAATTATTATTTGTTTTAGACACATCATCTCATTGTCATTTATTCCCATTTCTTATGTCTACTACTTGAGTCCGTCTGCCTTCAGGTGATATTGATGATAAATTTAAGGTCAACAAGTAAAGGACCCTTGAAGTAGTGTTTCACAAAGTATATTTTTCCATTTCCACTTGTTCCGTAAACATTCTCAGTCTTAAAGCACTGGCAGTCATTTTTATTTCAAGAATCCATCTTTATAATGTATATTGTGAAATTGTTATAATGCTACTTATATTTGAAATAAACATTCCTAACTTTGGTAATAAGCTTTCCTCAGCACGGTCATAGATGAACTCATAGTAATAATCTGATTATTCTGTATATTATAACTTAGAGTATATATTTATTGCCTAAATAAATGATTGAGAAATTCATTATCCAGCTATTTTTTTCTTTTCCTCAGCTTTTAATTCATTTGCTGCTCTGGGACATTCGATCAGCAATTTGTGTGTGGAACTCAAGGATCGATTAATTTGAAAGCTTTCGTCTCAGTATGTATATAAATGATTTACCAAACAGAATTAAGAACCTGTTGTGACGTGAATAAAATAGGCATTTGGGATTTAATAATTGAGAATATGTAATTTTCACAAGCTCATGAAGTATTCTATGTATCTTGATATATTTTGTATGGTATCTCTCAGTCCTGGCTGAACACTAATAAATAAAATATTCAAAATGAATAATTAAGTTGATATTACAACTCGTTATATGTATTACTAATTAGATAAAGTAGAAAGAACAACGGAGTGAAATAAATTTTCACCCATGGACAACTTTTTTACTCTGAAAAAATCAAATAAATATAGCTTATGTGACACAAAACATTTTAGCGCTAGTGAGGTATAGGAAAATGAAAATGAAATCAAAACGATATCTCTTGCAATCTCATCATTCTAATGAATACAAGCGAGAGAATATTTTT